TCTTGCATTGAGCAAGCGGAGGAGAGTCTGAAAGTGGGTGGTTGGCAGGTGTTCTGGTGTGGTTTGCTCCTTCTTTCCTATCGAACATCTATCATCCTTATCTCCCCTTTTTCTTTTTTATGTTTGTTACTTTCTTGTAACACATCTAATCTTCTGGGGCTCATATGACCTTATGCAGTTGCGAGCGTTGTAAAACCTCTACTAAAACTAAAAAAGACTCTGCGGGTGGTCGGAGGGCGCCACTGGTAGGTCCTTCTTCTCTTCTTTTCTTCTTAACTCCCTTGTTTCTGCCTATCGTGTCCTGCTCATTCCCTGCACTGCACGACCGTTTACTCACACTCGAACTCATCTCACAGACTCTGCCACGGATGGGCAAACGACACCTGCTGGCCGTGCACATCAGCTCCAAGGTCACCAAGCTGCGGGTGATCGGGTCGAGCACGCTGAGTCCCATCATGCCCTGTGCCGTGATGGCTCAGCTGTTGGCAGAGGTGGGTGCAGTTTCTCCTCCCAGTTTTTTTATGTTTCGAAAAGTTAACAGCTCTATACATAGATATCAGGGCTGCTGTTTTTTCTGGTATTTCCCTTATTTTCACTAGAAGATCAGTTATAAGTTTGAAGGTTGGATTTTCTATTTAACCCCTGGAAGATCAGTTATAAGTTTGAAGGTTGGGTTTTCTGTTTAACCCCTAGAAGATCAGTTATAAGTTTGAAGGTTGGGTTTTCTGTTTAACCCTTTATTAGTTGTGTCTATTGACAGTCTTTTTGTGTGCAAATACAACTTCATAAGTTTTCAGGTATTTTCACGAAATCCTAGAGGTATCACTGAGTAATATACAATTGGCGATTCTAGAAAACTGTCTACTTTTAATAATAATAATGATAATGAATAGCATTTGTATAGTGCATGTCCCCGCTCAACAGCAGGCTCTATGCGCTTTACACTATATTATATTGCTTCTATTACTTTTCCCAGTCTTTCAGTCGGCAGTTGTGAGCAGGTAGGAAAATTGAATGTAAAGATTACCACGTGGACAAAAATGGTGTTTGTAATCTGAAGATCTTAATTTGGTGGCTTGTAATTGCTGTAGGTTCAAAATGAGAAAAATATTGTGATAAGCATTCGTTCGACTTAAGACGTGCTTGTTGTAAACTTATATTATTTATTTGCTTGTGGGTGGATAGTGGGTGTTCTGGTGTGGTTAACTCCTTTTATCCTATCAAACATCAGCTATCGTCTAAACCTTCCCTCCTTCTTTTCTTTGCATGTTACTCTCAAGTACCCTTGTAATCCTCGGCACGTATATGTGCGTTGTAAAGTGACGTAAAATGTTTACTAAAACTGTTTCTGTACTTTGTTTTTCGTCCTTCCATTGAGCAGGCGGAGGACAGCTTTGAAATAGTTTTCTTCCACACCCAGACCTCGCCGCTGAATATCGAGAAAGGGATGCACACAGTGGCTATTGTGGAGCAGATCCTGAGAGCTGCCAGAGACGTAAGGGATGGGGCGGGGTGGATCACGATTTGTGGATGATTGTTCTCCAAAACTTACTGGTTGTCAGTTCTTCTTTTCATGATCGTTCTCCATGAGTTTGTGATTGTCATTTCTTTTTTCATGATTGTTCTCAGAGAATTTGTGGTTGTCAGTTTTTTCATGATTGTTCTCAGAGAGTTTGTGAGTGTCATTTCTTTTTTCATGATTGTTCTCCGAAACTTTGTGATTGTCATTTCTTTTTTTTTTTTTTTAAGATTGTTTTTAGAGAGTTTGTGACTGTCAGTTCTTTTTTTTCAAGATTGTTTTTAAAGAGTTTGTGACTGTCCGTTTTTTTTTTTCAAGATTGATTTTTGAGATTTTGTGACTGTCCGTTCTTTTTTTTCAAGATTGTTTTTTGAGAGTTTGTGACTGTCCGTTCTTTTTTTTCAAGATTGTTTTTTGAGAGTTTGTGACTGTCCGTTCTTTGTTTCAGCTGCTTTCCATCCATGATAAGGGACCCAACTCCCAATAAATACAGTGGAAATAATCCACGACAGCCTCTCAAAGTTAGGAGAAAAGTTGCAGATGGATATCTTAGACACTGCTAGTAGAAAGTAGAAAAAAGGCAAGGGGTTGAAGTGGGAAGTGATCAGTTGTACCGGTACTGGTGACTGTCTTAGACAGGTGGCCGTTAGAGCAAGTTTGACTGTATTATTTAAAAACTTTTTTTTTTCTCATTCCCATGTCCAATCGGGGTGTGATATTTTCAAACTTTTTGTGCTTTTACAGCCGGCGAACCAAAGCTCAGACCTCTGTCAACCTTTGCAATGGGCCGCAAGCAATGGCAAAGTGTTTGACAACATCCTCATCCTGACGGACAAGAAAGTGGTCCAGACGCCGCAGACTCTGGTGGACAACATTCGCCAGTACCGAAGCACTTCTCAGCAGGAGGCTAAGTAAGACGACAATAATAATGATGATGATGATCTAACCATTTGTGAGGCAGCGTGGTGGAATCAGGCTCTCGTCAAAATAATCAAAGTGAAGAAACTTGCATTTCTCCGCTGGTTTGTGAATTTTTATCCAATTTTTGTTTTTTGGCTCAACACCTTTCATGCCCATTAAAGAACTCATTTCTGTGAGGATTTTTCTGAAAAACGTTGATTAAAGGCACAAAAAATATAATTTTTCAGTTACCGCGGAGTCTTAAGCTAAGGAAATAACAAATCTTTGGCGACCATTTTCTCACTAATTTTACCTCTGAAAACAGGTGACCCCCACCTCCTTCATTCACAAATATCTCGACTTGTATTCAAGATAAGTGGATAATTTTTTCATCCAAATAAAGACAAGTGAACAAGCTTTAAGATGATACCAATAACTCTACATGCCCAAAAATTGACGAGAGCCTGATTCCGCCACGTCGTGACACATACACAGTCTATATACCCGGGAAGCGTACAGTGGGTGCGACCGATTTAAGTACTCAAACTCTAACTGGCAAGATGTTTGGCTGTCTGTGTTGGGCTGTGTGTAGCCATGTAGGCTACCTATTCCCGCTTGGATGAAGTGAGGAAAATAACTTGAGAGTAACACACAAAGAGATAAGGACGATAGATGTTTGACTGGAAAGAAGGAGCAAACCACACCGGAGCTCTAGCCAACCACCCGCGATGTAAACATTACTATTGGACAAAATATTATATGCAGGGAAGTTTCTTTCAGATAGAGAGACAAAGTGGGGAAGAGAGATAGAGAGAGGGAAAGAGAGAGAGAGGGAGAGAGAAAGAGAGAGAGGGGGAGGGAGAGATAGAGAGAGGGAAAGAGAGAGAGAGAGAGAGAGAGAGAAGGAGAGAGGGAGAGAGAGAGAGAGAGAGAGAAGGAGAGAGGGAGAGAGAGAGAGAGACAGAGAGAAAGGATCACAGTTAACACTGTATGGTGCCTGTGCTCTTTGCCTAACTGTATAGCACATTGAGTAATTTTTTTATTTTTTTTAGTTTAGTTTTAGTAAGAGTTTTACGGCACTTGCAACTGCATAAGGTATATGAGCGCCAGAAGATTAGAGGTGTTACAAGAGAGTAACAAACATAAAAAAGAAGGAGGGGAGATAAGGACGATAGCTGTTTGATAGGAAAGAAGGAGCAAACCACACCAGAGCACCCACCAACCACCCATTTCTCTGTGGAGATACATTATATAAGTGAAATTTATTATTATTTATTCATCATCATCATTATTATTTTTATTATTAATATGTTACCTTATGTTGGTTTTCCTCAGGGTGGCTGTGATTGGTTTAAGTGACATGATCCAGTTTCCCAACGCAGACGACCTCAACTACCTTGACATTTCTGGCTTCGATGAGACGGTCCCAGGCCTGGTACGAAAGTTTTTCGAGGGATATTCTGAGCCGCCCGCCCCCTCCGAGAAGCAAGACAAGGACTGAAGATGTTTTTGTTTGATTAGCCGGTTACTACAAAAGTTGTTTGTATTGGAGTCTTTAGTGATTGCGACCGGGGTTGCGTTTTCTTTGTGTATAGTTGGAGATTGTTTGCTTGTTGCTAGTCAGCCCCCTTTGTTTGTTGATTGGTTTACTCAGAGGAAGAATCTTTGCGCCCCTTTTTAAAAAAAATGTGAGGCAGCGTGGCGGAATCAGGCTCTCGTCAATTTTTGGGCATGTAGAGTTATTGGTATCATCTTCAAGCTTGTTCACTTGTCTTTATGTGGATGAAAAAAATATTCTTTTATCTTGAATACAAATCGAGATATTAGCGAATGAAGGAGGAGGGGGTCACCTGTTTTCAGAGGTAAAAATAGTGAGAAAATGGCTGCCAAAGATTAGCTACTTCCTTAGCTTAAGAGTCCGTGGTAACTGAAAATTTACATTTTTTGTGCGTTTAATCAACGTTTTTCAGAAAAATCCACACAAAAATGAGTTCTTTAATGGGCATGAAAGATGTTGAGCCAAAAAAACAAAAATTGGATAAAAATTTGCAAACCTGTGGAAAAATGCAAGTTTCTTCACTTTGATTATTTTGACGAGAGCCTGATTCCACCACGCTGCCTCACAAATGGTTTGGTCTGCCTCACAAATGGTTTGGTAATGTTTATTTAAGTCTTTGAATTGCGGGGCTTTTTGCTTGTTATCCTTTTGTTCTTGTGTTGCACTTTGAAAAAGAAACAAAGTTCCCCCCCCCCGCCCCAACATTTTTTTCCAGCTTTTTCGAGTGCCAGTATTTCTAATTTGAGACGTAGGATTTGGAACAGGAGGGACGCTGACTGTGTTACGTGACTCCCAACGTGTGCCTAATGAAGAGGTCATTGTTGGAACAGTTGGTTTGCTAAAGTGTCCTTTGAGACTGCCTTGGTCTTCACATCAACAAAAGTAGATTTTGTTCCTTCTGGTCCTGTTTGTGCTATGAGCTCCGTTGGCAATCCTCAGGTGAAATGGTGTCATGTGACATGTTCTTTAAAAAGTTATTTATTGTTGCTTTACTTGTGGCGGTGGTGGCCCAGTGGTTAGGCTACCGGACTCGTAATCGTGAGGTTGGGAATTCGGGGGTTGGAGCCGCGGGCCCAACGTTGTGTCCTTGGGAAAGACACTTTACACGAATGTTCCTCACTTCTTCCAGGTGGGAATGGGTACCCGGCCATAGACGGCAAAAGACCATGTCAGTATGTTAGTGTTTTAACGATAAATAAATGGCTGCTTGCACTGTATGCTTCCCAGGAAGTTGAGGTTGTTTCAGAATGCTCTCAGGTCTGCTGGGGTAATAATATAGATTGTGAAGCGCATAGAGCTTGCTGTTGAGCGCAGATTTGCGCTATACAAATGCTGTCTATTATTAATGGTAAAAGTGGAGTGTGCTGAAAACCCCCTCTAGGTGACAGAGCTTTGTCATAGCTGCGTAAAAAAGCACAGACTAATTAAAGCGTTAGGAGATTAGAGGTTGTGTTTTTTAAGCCTGTTTTTTCATGAAGCAGATTTGCTGTACGGATGTACATTGATGATTGTGTATTGGATTAGGAAGAAATGTTGACTTTGGTGAAATTCTCTGTCAGTTGGTTGTGTTTAGTGTTTAGAGGCCCTTATGAAATTCTGTCAGTTGATAGTGTTGAGAGGCCCTTATGAAATTCCGTCTTGGATGGGGAATAAATCCGAAAAATAAGAAGAAACTAGCAAATAGTTTTAGTTTAAACCAATTAGTTGTCACTGGTATAGGACACTCCCAGTGTCTAATGGGGAACGGGGTTATTACCGCCGGATGCTGCCAGCGTCTGATGGGGTTTGAAGAGTTAAAGAACCTAATAGTGTTGATAAGGACATTAAACCTGTACCATTTCACATTTCACATTTCACAAATGATTTCCCCATGTCCGTACTCTCAGCGCTGAGTTCCTGGTCTTGAGCGAACGAAGTGTTGTGAAACTTCACTATTTTTTGCTGCCTTTGAATAAGTGTCGTGGCGCTCACATGACCTTATGCAGTTGCGAGCACCGTAAAACCCTCTACTTTAAAAAAAAAAAAGAAGAAGAAAAGTGTCCTTGATAAGATTTTCATAGTTTGTCACAGAAAGTGAACATTGTCATAAATCCGTTAGTTACTTTATTTATTGTATTCAGCAAATTTTCAACTGGGGCTGTTTTCTGTTTGAGTCTCTGGTTTACTATGGAGCTTTTTAGTTTCAGCTCAGGCTAGATTGCGGTGGGATTTGAACTCTTCAGTGTGTCGATTCCTCTCTCTAGTTATGACGTTGTGTTGTGGGTTACTAAAACTAGAACTAATCATGGATGAATTCGCTGAGCATTGCATTAACTTGTGCACTTGGAATCAGGGCTGAAACTATAATTTATAGTCAGTGACAGATGTATAAAAGCTTGTGTTGATGACTAAATCTCTCTCTCTCTTTCTCTTTCTTTCTCTCTCTCTCTCTGTCTCTGTCTCTGTCTCTGTCTGTCTCTCTCTCTCTCTCTCTCTCC